ATTTTGAACTAAGAAAATGGTTACTGAAGACAAAAATATAAATCTATAAATTGATATGATCAGTTTTTGACCTGTCGCTTGCTGAAGACAAAAAAATATCTGAGCACCCCAAAGGGCACGGTCGTTTAATAAATTTGATCATTGGTCGCTTGAGAAAAAATATTTGAAATAAAATTTAACTAATGAGAAAAATGCTTATTTACAAAGAGTGAGAGTTGACTGTCATGAAAAATTTACCCCTGAAAAACACCACAATATACACGTGCTAGGTATTTCCTCTTGAATTTCCCGCTATACATGTTACAAGCCACATTACCAAAGGAACTCTGTCGACCTAGTAAGATTATGAAGCAGCTGATAAGCTATTGTCTACAGTTTCTACGAAAATTGCGGTTTGTTTTGTTCGTGGTTTTTGAAACCATTCTATAAAACTACGGAGTGTCGCTTCTGTAGCGTCTGCCAACTCTATTTTTTATATTAACAGTTAAACGCCTCGTCAAACCAATCTGTAAATAAAAGTTTACAGGGCTAATCCGTTCATAATAATAAGTGATTCGTAACTCTAGGTAGCTTGCTCTTACCATCTATCTACGTCTTTGGGCCAAGAAATTACTTCGCCATTCTTAGATCTAGAAATTCCACCAGTAAATCACACACAGAAAAACACGATCTTACTGTCACGCCCTGGTTGGTTACTATCGATAAGATTTTCAGCTCAGTAAAGCCAGCGTGGATCATTTATCAGCGGTGTTGACTGATGTGAAGCAAATCGTCTGAAAGGAATGACTGATGGGAACACAATATTATCCAGGTTGCGAGAGACTGTGTACAAGCCATCAGATACTGGACCCAGTTCCTCTGTGATATTTGCACCCGTCCTTCTGTGACAGCAAAGACCTGGTTAAGAGAAGAGGAAAGAAAAAATGAGTCATAATAAAACGGTTTCCACCTGAACTTTGCTGTAAAAATTTTTAGTAAATCCTTATACACACCTTTTGTCCTTTTGAAGCCGTTCCATCTGTTCAATACTTCAGCTGCCGCTACAACTGCAGAGAGTAGACTCGACACAAGGGCGAGGCCGAATACAATGTAGAAGCCCCGGACGACAAGTTCCAGCGTTTGGATCCCGGATGAAGGCTCCTGGCCTTTCCTAGGTACCATATCCCCAAACCCAATAGTGCTTAAAGCTGATAAAAGAAAACATGATCTAATGACTTATTTAGTTTATAAATTTACAAAGAATAAACCTTAACATTTTTATCAGTTGAATGGTTTACGAACGATAATATTTCTCTGCTTTCAACAAGTCATTCGTTTATAATATGGACATTGTGAGCTTTTGAATGACTGAATTAATGAACAAATGAATTGATGATTGAATGAGCTGAGGAATTCATCCGCCTGAAGATCATGGACATTTTAATCATCAGCTTATCGTGGTATGTTCCTAAGTACCTTTGTGTTCCAAATACGCTTGCTATTAGTTCATTGTCGCTCCTATAATAACTTACGTAAGCCATACCTATAAAGCAGTAGTAAACTCCGTCAAAGTAGCTCCAGCCTTCTGACAAATACAGCAGTCCACCGAGCATGAGAAGGACTAGGACCAGGGCAGCAGTGCTTAAAAGCACCTTAATCTTAATACCTTTGTCTTGTTGGAGCTGGTACTTTGAACTGATCAAAATAAAACCGTTTTCGATCAATTCGTTGATTCTCTCTCCTATTGATTTCAACGCCAACATACAGAGAGGTATACCAAATAGCGCGTAAAAAACACAAAATAACCGGCCGCCAAATGTGGCAGGAGCCATGTGGCCATAGCCTGAAATCAGAGAATTGAGCGTCAGTGCATCAAAGAAATAGGCATGGGGGTATTAGCTGACTGAGTGGTGTGACTAGTTAGGTATCAAACTGACTGACGATGAACCGGGATCATGGCTTTCCCCCTCCCTGGTTCCTAGATGATTGACTTTGACTAGCTTACGATCTGATTGGCTAGCTGACCAACGGACCAACTTTCAAGCTGACGGACCAATTTGCTTCCTGGTTGTCTGTCGAGAAGCCGATCGATCATGAAAGTGCATGAGTGATTGAACAATTTACTGTTACAAAAGATATGTATTAAAGGGGAAGTGAAGCCTAAAGTTGAACCATTTTTAAATTGTAGCTTAGAGCTCAAATATCAATGTTTGAACGTTTTGACGATGAATTCAAGACTGACTAGTACTGTCTTTCAAGCATCCCCAAATCTCTCCCAATAAAATCCAGTCGTCAATAAACTGAATGGAAAACTTACATGATCAAGGCAACACATATATATATATATAAATTATATTCGTGCAGCCTGAAAAGATTACGAGTTTGGAGGCAAAAACTTAGGAAGACTACGAGACGAATAAGGTGACAATTTCTAACACAGCGTCTTAAATCAATAATACTTGCTCTGAAAGTGAGCTATGCGATTTCGAACTGGTACGCCTCCGCAGTCAGTTGTGAAGAGGATGGGTCAGTCTGTTCTTCTTTCTTCCGAGTTGTAAACAACCGTGTAGACAGGACGTTTTTACAGAGTAGTGGATAAACATGGGTGCCTTCGATAGCACTTCATAGAAATTATATGGGTGTTGAGCTATCCTTGTAACTGAAAACTGATAATTTAACCATTAGACCTTACCGATTGTGGTTATAACACTCGACGAGAAATAAAGTGAAGCATAAAACGTCCACTCATAGCTTGACGCTCTTTGGTGATGATCTTCTTGAAATTTATGAAGCTTGTTCACTAGATCGTCAAATTCTTCCTTCGACATATTCACGCTTAAGTTTGTTCGCATTTTCTCCAGAGTTGCTTTGTCGGCGTCTTCCGCCAGTTCAAGTTCGCGTGGATCTGTTGTACTTTCAAGGACTTGAAAAACTGCAGCGCCAATTAATAGAAACAACGCAACTAAAGTGAAGCGAATTAAAATATCTCTTGTGCCAGCTTTCATTGTTCAAGACACTGGAAGGATGTTTGTTTTGCCTTTGAAGACTCGACCACTTCAGCCTGTTTTACCACCGTGTAAACTGATGTAACTCCAAAGTCACACACGCGAAGTTTTGTCAGATTTTCGAATTAAATTAAATGCTGAATGACGATTTTAAGTGAGTCACAGTTGCCTATTTTGCTTTTTTAATTTATTTTTTTCCGAGAGAGAATTCAGTTGTTTTTTTGACCACAGACCAATCGCCACAAGTCTTCAATTAATGCCCCGCGTTAAAGATTCACATAGGATCTTGTCACCGCAGTTACAATCTTGATTAAAAAAAGTGTAAACAAATTAGACTTCTGTCTCTAAGAAGCAGTTTGATGTTTACAAGTTAAACATAGTGTTGTATGAAATCTCAAGTAGGTCATTCAAAACCGTTGATTGCGTGCAGAATTACAAAACCCCCAAACTTCATGAAATATTCACTGTTTTCATCAACAGATTCTATTGTCGGCACTTTCGTTTCAGACCCTTATCAAATAGAAATATTATAGCATCTTTCTACGGTCGCCCAAACGTCAAATGCAAACACGCAATTAATTCAGACCAGAATCTTCTCATTTCATTCACTTTCGCTGGCTAATTAGCTGAAGGAAAGACAACACCTGATTCATAAAACATTTTCCTTTAAAAATACGGGATATCAGAGATCAAACAAAAGATTTCTTATGGACAAAGTCTCTTAATTCGCTGTTTAGCGTCGTCCGATCGCATCGCATACTTGCCTAAAGAAAAAGAAGTTATATAATATAAAAAAGCGGTGATTTTCTCATTTCACCTTTAAGCTAAACTGTAGCTAAGACACACAAGTACAGTGCTTGAGAAGCGCCATTAGATGGAGTCTCCTCTGAGACATCTACCCGGAGAGTTCTTCGATGACGGGAGCAGCTGCCCTCACCAACAAAAGCAGAAAGCGCTCCGATTTTCTAGAAGCTGTTGTTCTTCCTTTTCTTATAAAATTGTTCTTCGGATCGGATTTCGATAAAGCTTGGCAGTTACGAGAACTTCTTCAATTAACTGAGTCATTCAATCCTCGCTGGTGGATTTCGGAAAGTTACTTCCTGTTCAGTTTCTTTAGGCTGTACAATAATAATGTTTTGCTGGGTCTAACGGTTTTTGTTCCACCTCGTTCTAGATTCTTAGTGAATTTTTTGAGGATGCTTTTTCCATCCAAGTGACCAATCTGTTTCGGGCTCTCATTCGAGCAACCGCGCGGGTGATTCCCCTTCCTTGATTTCTCGCTGTATTGTGCACAACCATGATGTCGCGGTTATCTCTGCCTTAATATTGAACACTTGGAACGAGTCATACTTAAGACGAAACCGAAAATATGTTATGGTCAACAAGTCTTGGTTACATCGTTGCTTCAAAAGCTAAATCATCCAAAAAGGCCAGAGAAAACCATGCGCGTTCTTTCACAAATCCTCTCTCCCTCAGCTACTCCTCCGAATTCTTGAGAGGGAGGTTGCAATATCAGACCAAAGTGTATAATTTCCCACATCGGTTTTCAGACCTAGGCCTGCCTTCTTTACGGTAAATTTGATTACCAAATCCCTCACGCCTTGTTAAGCTTTGCATCGGTGCCTAAAAGTCAATCTCTGATAGAATTCATTCGAACAATTCAGCTTTAATTCACCCTTTGGACTGTTTATTCTACTCTCTCTCAGTATTTATTTGGAATTAGATATTCGCCCTTGTGGTTTCCTTTAAAACCATACTGAAATGAAGACTATAGTGGTCAAAAGCTTTGCCGTTTTCAGACCGTACCTTTTTAACATGGCGGCTCAAACCTGAGATACAAATTGGCACAAATAGAGTGCCAGAATAATGGCTGACGTAAAAATATAAGACATAAAAAATTTTCCTTTTTTAATGTTTACAGATTTTGCTGCTGTAAGCAACATTCCTATGGCGACGAAAACTAAGTATTTTATAAATCTTTCACTGTGTAGATGCGAAATGTTTTCAAATGGATAGAAGCGTAAAGAAGCAGTTTAATGAAGATGGTATATTCAAATAGCACAGCTTTAGACTCATTTTCTATTTGTTTTAAATTCAAGTTATATTCATATATTTTGTTTTTTCATTTTCAGTCTTCTCAGGCTAAGATGATTTTACTTTCTCTATAGATGGGGCATTTTCGAGGAACATCCCGTCACCAATATTACTTCCTGAAGACTGTTAGCATATTTTTCATTACATCACAGATAGTTTGATGCACAAACTGGTCCTTTTTTGCTTGAATTGTTTATTTTGAAATTAAGGGAAAATTCCCTACTACTCGCTGTTCGGGACTTATAATCGTCACCACTTCCGGCGCCAAAAAAGAGCTATATTTGAAGTAAGCGTCATTGCATCACCGAACAAATGTGATCACGTGCTGGTTTATGTCCAATCAGAAAGCTTAGAAATGGAACGGGGAAGTCCCTTAGTCGAGCAGAATGGAGACTATAAACTGAACCACTTCTTTCGGTTTTCACATGTGTGAGTGGAAAACTTCAATGTTGTTTTCACGCTAAAGTTGACAAGAGGAAGAGAATCTACAAGTTCTTAGGATAAAAGGCTAACGAACGTTATAAGGTGGGCAGATTTCACGTATTTTGGGCTTCTCTATAGCTTGTCTTCGCCGCATACATTTTGTTTTCCTGACTTTCTCTTGACATTTTACCAACCAGTATCCTTCGAGGAAATTATTCTCTAACACTGGCGGTTTGAAGAACGAAATAGCTAAAGTTCATCAAACGCAGAAACATTTTGATAGTAATACGACACGTTCAAACGTGAATGCTTCATTCCTTGTTGGATTTTAACGTCGAAATTGTCTCACTAATCGTTGTAAGCGAGGTGCGCTTGTGGCGGTGGGTGTCTTCATGTTTTACGTCACGATCAGTGCTTAAACATGTGCTTAATCAGCATTTTGATGATATTTTTTCCCATTCTTTCCTAGTCTACTTAGCCATATTCCACTTGTCGTACCCTTTAGTGACACTTCTTAATTTAAAGGGATTGTGACCGATCATTAGTGTGGTTAATGCTCTCAAGTCTTGTGACAAACTGATCATGATACATGAACAGTGACTTACAATAAACGTCGTAAAGATCCTGTTGTATTCAAGTCAAGTTTGAATCTTGAAATATGTGTTTTATGAGGCATTTTTGATTGATGTAAAACAGACATAACGTGAGCTTGTTGCATATGCTTAGTTGTGGTAAATTTGATATGTTTACCACAGCTAGTACACGTATATGAATACTTGTATATGTTGTAATTTGAAATTATTTCAGGGCAAAATGACAACAATCAAGTTTAGAATGTGTTTTTCTTTGCATGAGAGCTACAGCAATGTACTTGAAACAAAGGGGAACACAACATAACCATTTCAAAATCACTTTTACGTAAAATTCATTGTTGCCTTGAACATGCAGGCATGTTCTTGTGTCAATTTGGTTTTTTGGTCCTGTATAATACAGCCTTAATTAAATATCTGAAAAATAACAGTATGCTGACCTCTTGTGCCAAATTTAATGATGGAATCCAAAAGTTATTATGATCAGGGCTATGAGGTTGTAATTGAGAAACAACTGGATCTTCAATACTATATTGATTAATAGAATGACTGTTTGTTAGCAATAATACAGGAGCATGTGTTTAGACTGACTGATGCGTATGTTGCTCATTATATTTAGCTGTCATTTGGTAGATATGAGTAAAAGCTCTGTTTTTTGAAATGGTATTAGACTATATTTTGCCATGTTTCTGAGGAAATGCAGATGAAATGAAGGATGATGCAGGTATTCAGATGAATTTGTTAGAAGTGATTGGTCAGCAATAAATGTTTTTTCTCAGTCACAGTGAATTCTGTCTTTTATTCCCTCAACTTTGTCTCCAAAGTTCTTTCTCTGGCAATTCCATTTTCTTTAGATATAACAATTTGTTACCTATGATTTAAAGATGTTTGGTACTCATTGAAAATGTTGTTTCTTCCTTTAGCACTTGTAATTTGTGAGCTATAAAAAGATACTCCAAAAGTAAGGGGATCTGCCATATTTTGAACCAGCTACTACCATGGCAACCAACTCGGAAAGGCAGATCGGTGAAACTCTCACGGACAGTTTTGTGATGGATCTCCTGACACCGGGGTATCTACCCGACATCTCTGCACTCCAGGTGCCAACAGCATCGTACCAAGGTAGCTGGGTTTGCCAACTTAATGTATCACTGCTTGTAGTAACATAAATCAACAGAATTTCAGCTGCTCTTTGTTTCTCAGTTATTCAGGCTAGTTATTCTGAGTGCTAACACCATTTATTATTTGTAGCAAAATTGTTCACTGCTTGTTGCAATTTCAACCAAGATAATTTATACCATTCTTTGTTTCAAAATAAACCAATCTGGTTATTCTAAGTGCTTACATCCTCTACTATTTGTAGCAAAATTGTTCCTGGGAAAGTGGAATTTGTGTTGATTAAAAATTAAACCCAAATGCAATTTTTAACTGAAATCAAAGACTTATATGATAACTGTATCAAAGTTTAGGAAACTCAAATTTAACTTTGCATTTAGCTTCATCAGTTTTGATAGGAATTAGTTATTGAGAAGGTACATAAACAGTATAAGCACAAGCAGTTCAGTTTATTTACACTCTCTATTTTTAAACAATTGTTAAAGAGGGTATGGACAACATTCCAGAAAAAGATTGATACTTCTATGTTATAAGTAATGTAACTTTTGTTATCAAACATTTTATAGGACCTTATATGGAAATTCTTGAACAACCTAAACAGGTAAACATGGCATTCTTATCTTAACACTTGGACTCAACAAACTTAGGCTCCCAGTTAAATTGATCTTTGATTTAGAGAGATCATTTGATGGCTGTTTGATAGAGTTGGCCTTACTTTTACCTTAAGACATTTTATGAACCTGAGGTATGATTAAATCATGAGATTCCTCTTCTCAA